AATTGCAGTCGCAATATTAGTAGGTATCTGCTTCTTGTATAGGAAAGTGTATTTGGTCCGTACAACTGCAGGTACCGCTGCTTCCGCGGTAATTGAATGGCCTCATCTCTTGGAGATAGGAAGAAGAGTAGATCTAAGTCGGAGAAAAAGCGTAAATCCCAAGTGAATGCGGTGTTAGTCGAAGAGGCGCCAGCTCCTCATGAGCCCCTATTCGTACCTCGAATTTATTCGTTGAGTAATTACAAAGAGACTAAGCATCACCGACTACCGTATGTTCAAATTTGACTCGATAGACAGGTGGTCACTGCCTTGATGGATAGCGGAGCAACCATAACGTATATGCGGAAAGAAACAGCGGATCAGCTTGGACTCCCGTACTGTGATACTTTGAATAAAACTTGGCCAAAGCCGCCAATGGTACATTTGTGCCTTGGTCGGATCAGTCTATGTTTTAGTGGAAATCGGAAGTTACAATCTTCCGCATAAATTGTATGTGGCGCAGGAATCGGACTGTACGGCGCCTGTCCTGCTCGGTACTGACTTTATCGAGAAGCTCAATCGATTAGGGCTTAAGCTGACTATAGATCTCCATAATAATTCCTTAACTATAGGGGATAACGCTACCAATTTAATAAATAACGTTGAGGCCCAAACTCCATATAATGTTAGGTTGATCGATAATGTTTTATTGCCAAGAAGATCTAATAATATTGTGCAAGCCATCATCGAGGGCTACTTTTCTACTCGACCATTAGACTTTTTCATTGAAGATAACCTAAGGCCCTACTCGGGGATCTACATAGTTGGTCGATGTCTGGTTAACCCCATTTTAAGGTCTATGTAACAGCACTATAATGAATCCATCCTATACTCAGGTGCGCCTCTATCAGGGAATGCGAATTGCTTGTGCCATACCTATCGTAAGGCCTGATGCACAGATTTGTAATTTAGAGATATCCGAGAATGCTTACATACCCCCCTGAGGCCGACTGGGAGAATAGATTGCCGCATTTTCCCATTTCCACTCCTAGAGGCTTTGACACTGCCGACGAAATCGATTTTTCACGCTCGACACTCTCCAACCAGCATCTAGAGGAGCTCAAAGATTCACTGCGCAGGCATTGCAACCAGGGCCCGGCACGAGGTGGGCAGATGACAAGCTGGAAAT